CGACACATATAAGAAGTATTAATTAATCACAATTATTACCAAAATTAAATGTGAAATGCATTAATTATAGAGATTATTAATGAATTTTATATTTAATTATGGTAATATTTCTTATAATTAATGTGTTTAATATTTAATTATGGTAATAATTGTGATTAATTAATACTTCTTATATGTTTTTCGGCGAATAAAACAAATGAATCAATAATAACATAATTCACCAAACAAAATCCTGAAAAAAACATTTCGATTATTCATTTTTATGATGATTTTGTTGATATTCACTAAAATTGTCATAAAAGTGATTTTTTTTCTTCATTTACCTAAAAATGAATCATAAAAATGTTTTTTTCGGAATTTTATCTTGTGAATCATCTTACTTTTGAATCACTTAATGATTCTTTCCATTTTTTTTGCTAAGAAAATATTCTATTATAAAAAATTTCTTACCTTCCTACCACAATTTTCCTTCTTATTTGATCTTGACTCTCTCTCTCTCTCTCTCTCTCTATATATATATATATATATATATATATATATATATATATATATATATATATATATATATATATATATATATATATATTGGAAACGGCAAATTATTCAACGGAAGCCTACTCGCAATATTTCAACGAGCACCCCGAGTTCGAGCTCAGCAAAGCGGGCAAACCCAGCCCCCAAGGGGATTTCCAGGGAAAATTCCCCACGTGTGCCCGTGTGAGGCATGGGTATATATATATATATATATATATATATATATATATATATATATATATATATATATATGAATTGTATTTGTAAAAGTAACTGATGATTGATCAATAAAGGCTATATTTAGTGCACATAAAAACATCTCTCTCCTCTGATACGTAATGTTCATGTTATTGCTTTAATTCAATTTTTCTTGGGGTTAATTCCAACAGACTCAAGAGGCAAATAATAACACAAGAGTCAAAAGACTTATATTCTATCTTTTAAGGATAAGGATACTATAATAACAATCACCTTATTTTAAGATCTGAACATATTACAGGAAAACTTATAAAAAAATTGATCTTTAAGACTAAATATGCTTTCTAAGTAACGTGATCGTGTTTACTTCCCCTACTTTGCTGAATGACTTGGCAATGATCAAAGAATCCACCGTGCTGATGTGTCACCTGACAGTCTTATGTGGCTGGATGAGCTGTCAACCATATTATGTCATACACATTCATTGGTAAAAACTACAAAGTCCACACTTCAACGTTTTAATAGATTCCTGTCAATATGAGTGCAAAATCGATCCTTTTCTGTCATTTCTTTGAGAAAAAAGATGCCCATCAAACTCTAAACATTATTCCCTTGTGGGCCACCTATCAAACTCCATACATTTCTTCTCATATGTCACTCTGAAATTTTTACAAATAGGTGCCCACTTATATTTCTGGCACAGCATGTGATCATAACTCCACACTTATTCTCGTGGGTAGACCTATGTGAAAACATGCCCAGTTTACTTCTCTTGCTCATAAATATGCATGGCTTCTCAGTTTCTTTCCTACTCAAAACAACAACCTCAACATTTCATCATAGTCTCTCATCAAGGAAATGTCGTCTGTGACAAAGTCAATCAGAGGATGGTTGGGTAGGAGTCATGCTAACATGGTGAAGAATGATCACAGTGGCTACTACTGTACATCAGCAGCCAGGTTAGAAGGAGATGGGGACGATGATGATGGAGATTACGACTATGCCCCTGCAGCATGATTTAATTAACGAACATTTAACATTAACTGTAGCAAGGTGAGGGACCACAAAACCATTCATGGAGCTTCTATAGATTTTTGTATTACTAATGCATTACTGCTAAATGTTTTAGAATGTAAAACTCTTTGAGTTATAAAGGCAAGACATATGATGATCCTAGTTTCATGTGTTTAATTTGTTATTTTTATCTGTTCAAGCAATATGATTTACTATGTATGTTTGATTAAGGCAAGCCAAAAGACATTCACTTATGTTTGAACCTGAAAAGTTTATAAAAAAAAGGGTTAATGCATACTAATGTAACTTGATGCATGAAGTTAATTTCACATTCTCTGATTTTTACAAATAAAATCCACAATACTCAGGAGGATCCTAAGCAAATAAAAAACAACACTAATAATACCTCATTTGGTGATTTACTAGCCAAAACTATGTCAACCCATGGGCTTACAACAGATTTAATCTGGTCAAGAATTTATAAAAACCATAATATCTAGCTCCACATCATATTTCTCTTACACATGCAGATTTGTTCAAACTGAGATAAACATCTTGCATTGCAGGATGAGAAGCATCTCCGGCAAGAAACTCATAAACATTGCCATTAATAACCTCAATAGAATTTATGTTTGCAGAGCTTTTATAGATTTTGGTAGTACTATAGTGCAATGCTGCTAGTTGGCTAGGAGTCGATAATGGTTATACTGTGTGAAAGTATATATACTACTCTTATACTCAGTTGTTAGTTTTGCTAGACCAGAATCATAAAATTTCTAGTAATCGACAATTTCAACTGCTCTATGATATCTTTTCTACCACCTGACCATTGTAACTCGGTAGTTCTTCAACAACAGGTGTAACATTGAGACACATGTTGCTAACATGTGTCAAGAACAATTACGATCAAATTAGAAACTCGTGAATACGTAATTACCCTAAAACTAGTGCAGATTACATATGGTCGTAAGCTATTCCTTTATTCTAAAACCAGATCGATTTCATCAAATGAAGGTCTGTAGTAGAGGCACCATGTGGTCAGTCGGGAATTATGGTTGTATGTATAATTGTGTATGGTTTTCTATAAGGAAATATTCAGTATTCCTTCATTAGTCACGACAAATATCACCATCAAAGATATTATGATCACATACAAAGATAGTGATACATAGACATAGATACTACTGTATATATAACTCAGGCCACTCGAATACGGATTGCATTGAAAATATCTATAGTGCTTATCACATGAAAATAAAATATGGACTACAATGACATTTTGTTACCCACATGTTAAATGCTATGGATACTTCATATCAGAGCATCCTGCATTGAACTCCATTGAGTTTAATGGATTATCATATCATCGTTCTAAAATTCATACAACTCTATTATTGTTTTCTACAATGCATTGAAGTCTACAAAGTTCAATAGAATATTATAAAATATATCTCAGTCCCTTTGAATAGCTGTTGACTACAGCCGTTATAGTGTACAACTTATAAAGAAGAATACATAATGCAAGAAAAATATTAAAGAAAAAATCGTACCCATTGCAAACACTAGTTGACAATGAACATTTACTCTTCTTGAACACTAGAATATCATTAACAGGACCAAATGAACCCTAGTTAATTTATAAATTAAACATGTTGCATCATATATATTATATAAGAATATTAATATGGCCAAGAGATATCATTATACCCGCTTATTTGAAAATTAGATGTACGCTATGACTTTTTCGATTAAAAAACTTTTATTGTCCAAAACCAAGATTATTTTCGAACAGAATGGTACTGTAGTAGACCTATATAAAAGCTAAAAAAAAGTTGGATCTAAAATCATATAAAGTGAAACTATTTAAAAAGTGACTTTTCATTATAAAGGTCAAGTGCACCCTGACTCAAGAGGCAAATCATAACACAACAGTCAAATTACTTATATTCTATCTTTTAATTTCTGGTAATGAGAGGATAATAAAGATACCATAATAACAATCACTTTTTTTAATATCTATTTACTAAAATACAGATTAATTTGAACAAAACAAACTAATATTACAAGAAAACTTATAAAAACAATTGATCTTTAAGACTACATATGCTTTATAACGTGATCGTATTTACTTCCCCGACTTTGCAGAATGACATGGCAATGATCAAAGAATCCACCCTGCTGATGTGTCACCTGACAGTCTTATGGGGCTGAATGACCTGTCAACCTTATTATGTCATGCACATCCATTGGTAACGACTCCACACTTCAACTTTTTGATAGATTCCTGTCAATATGAGTGCAACATCCTTTTCTGCCATTTCTTCTCATTAAAAGGATGCCCATCAAACTCCAAACATTTTTCTCTTGTGGGCCACCTATCAAACTCTATACATTTCTTCTGATATGTCTGCTAAAAATTTTAGAAATAGGTGCCCCCATATACGTGAGGCACACGATTTCATCATAACTCCACACTTATTCTCGTGGGTAAACCTATGTGAAAACATACCCAGTTTACTCTTGCGCATAAATATGCATGGCTTCTAAGCTTCTTTCCAACTCACAACCACAACCTCAACATTTCTTCATAGTCTGTCATCATGGAAATGTCATCTGTTACCAAGTCAATCAGAGGGTGGTGGTGTAGGAGCCATACAAACAGGGAGATGAATGATAGGGGCTCCTACTATACACCAGCAGCCAGGTTTGAAGGAGATGGGGATGATGATGATGGAGATTACGACTATGCCCCTGCAGCATAATTTAGTTGATGAACATTTAACATTAACTGTAGCAAGGTGAGGGACCACAAAACCATTCATGGAGCTTTTCTAGATTTTTGTATTACTAATGCAATACTGCTAAACGCTTTAGAATGTAAAACTATTTTTCCTACTGCTTATAAGATGTAGTTGTGTACTAATCAACACATATGAGTTACAAAGGCAAGCTAAATGAGTATCCTAGTTTCTTGTGTTTAATTAGTTCGTTATTTTTATATGTTCAAACACTATTATTTCGTACCTATGATTTATGAAGACAAGCCAAAAGACATATTGAGTTTTGTTTGAGACTCACGAGTTTTATAAAAAAGGGTTAATTGCATACTAATCAAGACCTAACTAGGTGAATCAGATTAATTTGATATTCTCTGGTTTTTACAAATAAAATCAACAATATTCATGAAGATCCTAAGTAAATCGACATAACACAAATAATACCTCATTCAGTGATTTACATTTTACAATGAAAAACTATCTACATAGCATGTCAAGAGCTTTTATTGAAACCAAATTAACTAGCTCCACATCATATTTCTCACACACAAATGACTGTTTAAACAATGTGTTCCAACTGAAATAAATATCATTCATTTCAGGATGAGAAGCATCTCCAGCAAGAAACTCATAAACATTTCCATTAACCTCAATAGAACTACACCCAGGCTCCTTTCTAACTCCATCACCTCTCATTTTCCTTCTTACCTTCATCACATCTTCCCATCTCCCAACAGAAACATAAATGTTAGCCAAAAGCGTATAAATACTCGAATCATCACCTTCAATTTCACTTAACCTATCAGCTAAATGCTCACCCAACTCAAGATCGCCATACTATCTACATGCACTCAACAAACACTACTAGAAACACGGGTTTTAGAGACGGACGAATCCATCGCTATTCCGTCGCTAAATGTTGTTTGTGATGGATCAGCGAAAGATTCACTCCATAGGTAAATAAAATGTTGTTTGTGATGGATCAGCGAAAGATTCACTCCATAGGTAAATAAAAGGTGGCTAATGACTCAAAGAGGGTTTTAGCGACGGGTCGGCTTTTCCTTGCGACAAACTTAGTGACATAAAATCCGTCGCCAAATGTCACTCAATACATTTACCCAGGACATTATTGACAAAATTTGTTAAAGACATTCCGTCGTTGTTCTGTCGCAATTTCCCTGATCATTTTTTTTTCCGTAGCTAATCCCTTGCAAAGTTCATATACTAAAAAAAACCCATTGCTGATCCGTCGCAAACTTTAGACATGATTTTTTTTCCGTAGCTAATCCCTCACAAAATTCATGCATTATTATTATTATTATTATTATTATTATTATTATTATTATTATTATTATTATTATTATTATTTTGTCACTAATCCGTCGCGAACTTGTAATATCTTTTTTTTTATTATGATTCTAAAAGAAAAAAAATACTACAATCATCAAATTATTATACTAAAAAACATCAAATAATGATTCAACCAAACATTATAATATACAAAAACTATCAAAGTTACCAAAGTATCATGTTTCATATCATACTAAGCTTCATATAACTCAACCCATGAACATATAGTTGTATACCCTTGCTTACATACGTGCTCTAGAACCCGTATTTATAGGTGCACTCTGCAAAACAACACCAATATATAGCTTATATATGTCCCATTAAGTCCATTAAGTAAAAAAGATTGAGGATAAAAAAGTAAACTCACCAATAAGACACCATTCATGCTCTTTCTTCCAAGAATCTTGATGGTTTATAAAAGTTGCCATATTTTTCAAACCATTTTTTCAGACCTGTATATATGTGTTTACTCCCAACATCTGCCCAAAAAACAATGCCACAACTGCAACACGTTTTGAAATACATTAAGTAAATGAAAAATACATTTTTTATCTAAAAATGTTTATTCTTGCAAACTATATTGCTAATTTTCAATTATAAACATACCGATATGAACGAAAACTCATCCCAAGAACAGATGCAATGTCAAGATCGGATGCTTTAACAACAATTTTTTCCTCTAGAACACGACATGCTTCATTCACCACAGGGAACAACACTATCTCTACTATTTCTTCATCAGTCATGGCTACAGTCTACATAGATAAAACACAAAATGACAAAATTGCCCTTAGTATGTCCCAAGGGTACAAATGGATTACCTTTCCTTGTGGCATAAGATTGGCTACCCTTTTCCATTGTTTTTACCTAAAAAATCCATGTCATTTAAACACATAATTGAGAGACAACACGAAAATGAAAATTACTAAATTACCATTTCGCCAATTTTTACGAAGAAGGTCAACTATAGGAGAGATGAAAGTGCGATCAGGAAAAGCAGTGGCGAATTCTTTTGACACAGCAACTGCTAAATCATATCCTATCAAGTCTTCAAGCCTAGAAACGATCACCGATTTGGAAAATTACCATTTTGCCCTTTTCTAAACTATTGAATTTATGATTAAGAAACAGAAACATTCTAGGGCCTAATATAGTAATATTTCACGTTTGCAACAGGCCATCGGGACAATTGTATCCAAAGGTGTTGGATCTGCTTCTTATGGAGGTATTTTTTGATCAACTTTTGTCATTAAAAAAAAAAAAACTTGAGTTTCTTGGAAATGGTGAGAGTTGAAGCTTTGCCATTTTTAGGCCCTTCCAAGTTGTTCCTGTTGGTCAAAGAGAACATTCTTGCATCAAATTTTGGTGAGTCGGAATGACATTCAGACAACGATCCATTAACCTTGGGGGCTTCAATTCCTGAGCTTTTCACACGAACATATGTAGTGAAGGAATGGCGGATTCCATTCTCAAGTTGTGGGAATGACGAATACCATAGTTGGAATTCTGAAGTGTTGATAGATGGTATGAAAGTGTCGTAATCAATGTCTGTTTCAATTTCAATTATATGGATTGCATCACATCCAGGAGCATTCAGTGACTCCCTGCAATTATAAAGATTGTAATAAACTACAAATTAGATATAAAGGAGCCAAAAAAAAAGAGCTTTTTTTTTTTTTTTTTACTTTTGCCACATTAGTTTTCCTACAATTTTTATTTTACAAAAAACTTTTATCAAAGTCTGGAAGCAAAAACACTTACAATCGTGAGCCCAATCGATGCTTTGTTGATTAAAGGTAGGAAACTTGAGCATTCATTGTTTAAAGGAAAGGAACTCGGTGTGTTAGATTAAGTATGCAAGGTCTTAAATTGTTAGAAGAATTTCTACCCATTTAACTTGGGAAATTCAGATTTGATAGTGGAATTGCAATGGCTTGAAACTATGGGTACTACACATATTAATTGGAAGACATAAGTGATGAAATTTCTAATATAAAATTATCATTATTATTAAGTGATTTACATGTCAAAAACCCATACCCAAAATCAAATACAAATTAATTTCACACATCAAGGGCTCAAGGACACCTTAAAGTTCAAATTTAGGTACCCATCTAATTATTTAACAATTCTTTTATAAATAATAATAATCTACTCAATTATTAATAATTTGCATTATCAACTTGTAATTTATTTTCCCATATACTTATTAAATTATCTTCATATTTTGTAAATACTAGAAAAGTAAGAAATCTTCTAACTGTGTCCATTCATTGATTTAAAGGGGGAAAGATGTTGTTCAACTCCAGCTGGAAAGGTGAGAGCTTTACTTATCCCAGTTTTGAAGATTTATTTTCTTATTTCTAAGCTCAAAAACATACATGACTCAGTATTCTCATATAACTATCATGCTTAATGTCATATCATGTGATCCTTTTTTAAAGAACTAAAGAAGCCATTAATGATAAATGAATGTGTATAATTATATTGTAACATGACAATTGACAAATTCATATATGGCTAGGATTGACAAATTCATATATGACATCTGCTCTATGTTGTATATATGGAGGCAACACTAATTTAATAATCCATTATTGAATAAACACCAAACATAGTAAATCTTAGAAAGCACAGGTTCCATTTTGTAATTCAATTTAAAACTAAGTTAAATATGCCAGAAAACCAAAATGAAAAACAATGAGGAAACAGGAAATGAGAATTAGAAATGTTCCTTTCATTTCAATAGACATTGGAAAAAGAAGCCGACCCCCAAAGTCAAGAGATTGACTCATAAGAAGCCATTAGAAGTTAGAGGAATAACATATGCTAAATCTATAAAAGTTGTTAAAAAAGATGATACATTTGCTTTGAAAGATTCACCCGTTGAAGATGGCAAGATAGAAGTGAATCTTGTTAACAACGGAAGCCAGTTGCCTAAAACAAAAGTGAAAAAGAAGCTGACCCCAAAGTCAAGAAAATTCAAGAGAAGTCCACAAAAACCAACTACAATGAGTAAAGAAAACCCCTTAAACACAAGCCAAATCTAATGACACATTGGAAACAAAGCCAAAAGCCAACACAAGTATGACAATATGACAAAGGCAAAAGTGATTCAAGTTAGAAAATGGTTATGCGAAAGAACATGACACTTACAAACGTCTCAGTGTGAATATTCCTTCCAAAGATAGCCTTTTGAGATCACTTCAAGAAAAGAATTGATAATTAGTGTAATGTCTATAGAAAAGAATCACAATATAAAAGCGTATGATAAAGCTAAAACCGATAATTAGTTTTGTAGAGAAACCCATAAAGAAAATTATAATAAATTACAAGTAGTACTTTGGTGAATATCATCAATCAACTAAGCATGAAAAAGGAAATAAAAACCAAAATCATACATAAAGAACTCTTTATGTGTGTGGTTGAAAATAACTAATCAGGTATAGCTTTTGTTTGCTTCACCAAAAAATTAAACGAAAAATCAAAAGAAAGTCACTAAAAGAGGAGTTGTCAGCAGTTGCTTTTAAGTGTAGCACTCAACAGCAGGAATCTAATCTAGGATGGAATCCTCAAAGGTTGCAAAAAAGACGACTAATCTTTTACAAACAAGTGATTGTCTAGGAGCAGAAACTATTATAAAGTCGATTAAAAAGTCAAGAATTACTCAAGAAGCCATGATGTAGACATTTCAACTTTTTTATCTTCTTTTTCATGTGGTGTTCACTTATAAGTTTTCTACTGATGGTGTACTCCAAATTTGATGCAGAGTAAAAAGTCGATTACTATGGGTGTAGTTGGCTTGCCTAATGTAGGCAAGAGCAGTCTAATTAATAGCTTGAAAACATGTCATGTTGCTAATGTTGGGGCTACACCAGGTCTAACAAGAACAATTCAAGAAGTTCAATTAGACAAGAATATCAAATCGTTCGATTGTCCTGGTGTTGTGATGATTAAATCTGGGGAGAATGATGCTACTGTAGCTCTTCGGAATTGCATGAAAATTGAGAAACTAGATGAATCAACCCCTAACTCAAGTTCTAATTAAGTGTCTATTCTTATATAGATGCAATCGATGGTATCCCTAACACAATACCAAAACGTTTCAAGGAAAATTAAACCCTAACGAAGTATATTGTGAAATTGAACTAGAACTAACCTAAGAGGGATGATATTTACCTAAAACGAAAGGTAAATTAAACCCTAACGAAGGTAAATTAAGAAATACTTTCAGATTTAAAGATGTGGAGGTTGCTAGAATCAGATGAGTAGTGTCGTCTTCTGTTCGAACAGAGATGGTGAGATAAAGCAGAACGGAACAGAGATGAAGGGAACTTACTCCAGAGTCAAGAGTCATAAAGCTATAGGGAAGGAAAGTTACATCACCTTCGTGAAGATGGAACTGGGTTTGCCAATTTCAGCGCAAGAGATGGGCGATAGAAAAAACAAAACACGCGTATCCCAAGTATCATTTCCGTCGGCATTCTCTCGCTAAACGGGTACCAGATGGCACAATTTTTATCCCTCGTTGAACCCTATCTAAGCGCCTTCATTTTTTGAGTGATTAGCGAGGAATAGTGGTGCATCGTTAAATCCTTGCGAGATCTGTAGTTGATCCCTCGGTAAATCCTCACTAATATTCTATATGTTACATAAATAAAATAATTATGAAAAACATGGTAGATATGTCGTATTTCCCTAGCTATAAGTCTAAATTTTTTCTAGAGAATAAATCTGTAGCAAAATCCGTAGCTGAAACTCAAGTTTCTAGTAGTGAAACCACCATAAACTGGAACTAACATGTCATCTTTCTCCCTTGGCATTTTGCTAACTATCTTTTTTGCTTCTTTCAGTAGC